TGCCTGCCAAGTTGCCTAGTCGCTGACTTCCCCTGCAAAGCACTAATTACAGCGCAGTTCCCCCAGGCCCTGGCTCCAGGGTCTGTCACAGCCCCGCAGCTTCAGGGCACTGGCTGCAGTCTCTGAGCCAGTGCTCTGTCCCCTCTGCTCTCCCTGGGTGAGGAGGACAGAAAACACCTGGATGCCCCCAGACCCATCAATGGGAAAGCTGGAACTAGGCTCATGAAACATTCCTATCAGTCTTACTCAGTGGCTCTCAAAAGTGTGGTCTCTGGACCAGCAGCATCACCTAGGACCCTGTTAGAAATGCAGATTCTCAGCTCTTACCTGAAACCTACTGCATCAGACATTCTGGGGCTGAGGCCCTGGAAGCTGTGTTTTAACAATCCCTCCAGGGGATGGTGATGCCTGCTCCGTTAGAGAACCACAGCTCTGATTCCTGTGCAGCTGTGGTGGAAAGGTGGCGGGCTGTGGAGAGTGACTATAAAGCAGGGCATGATGAAGCATAGGCTCAGAGAGACTTGCCTTCAAATCCAGGCTCTGCTAATTTCTTACCATGTGATCTTGGGCAAGTCACTTTTTAAATCAAATACAAACGTATTGACAACCTACTGTTTACTGTTGAAGGCTCTGGAGTTACAGTGCTGGAAGAAAACTATGGCAATAGCCAACATCTTTTCCTATATTGATGCATTTAATCCTTACAGAAACCTATCAGGTGTGGTTCTATTGATCCCCAAACCTACTGAGGTACAGATGGGCAAAGTAGTTTGCACCATGGCTGGTCTGAGGCAGTTCTGGGGTTGGAACTATACAATGTACTTCCAGAGCAAGGCACTGGGCCACTGGGCCACTGGGCCACTGAGCTGAGTTGACCTGTGGCTAGCGAACGAGATGGACACAGTGCAATAAAGATGCACAGCGCAGGCAGGTTATGATGCATACTAGGAAGACAAAATAAAGTAGGAAAGGGGACAGAGCACATTGCACAAAGGGGAGGTGACTGTTTTAACAGGGTGATCTGGCAAGCTAACCCCTGAGCAGAGACCTCTCTAAAACAGCTTTCTCATCACTAAAATAAAGGAATTATTAGTACCCCTTCACAGGTGTGGTATGAATGTCACAAGAACATGCCTTTAAAGCACAGTAGATGCTGAATAAATGGGAACCATTATTATAAACTTAATGAACTGAATTCCATCCTAACTGGCTCAGCCACTGCCTAGCTGTGTGTCCTGAGCAAGTCGCTCCATCCCTCTAACTTCAGTTTCTGCAGCTCTGTGAGCCTTGGAGATAACTCGCATACCGGTCAGGGAACAGCGAGGGCACCCCCACTCCTGCCCCTTGCCCACTCTCACTTAGCCTGTCAGCAGAAGCTCTTGGGGGCAGTTGGTACCCTGGTCGGAGTGCCCAGGAGTCCGGTGTTTTTATTTTTACTGTTCCAGCTCTGTAGCTAAGGCCTCTAACCCCAAATGCCTCCTCTTGCCCAGAAAAATAGGTAGTTGGCAGTTCCAGTCTCCCGAAAGGCCCCACACAAAGGCGGCCTGGCAGGCAAGCATGCTGACGCCAGCCCAGGGTTATGGGAAGTGAGGAGCAGAGCCCAGGCAGGGCTGGCACCAGGCAGAACTGGGTCCCTGCAGGTCCCAGCATGCACTGGCAGCATGAACCTGGTCGAGTCCTTCTTTGCTTCTGGGCTTGTTTCCACACCCGTGGGAACACAGTGGAACTGCGAGGCTTCAGTGAGATGATGCGTGTCATGATGCACACACGGGACATCACCCCCCTGCAGAGGCAAACTCCGGATATGCTCCCACCATGACTGCCTTCAAATCCAGGCCACTACTGACCCCTCATAGCAGGTGGACCTGGTTATTTCTATTTCACATATGAGACTCAGGGTTATACAAAAATTTTCCCCAAGTCCCATAAGTCAAATTGGCAGTCTTGGCTTCAAAGCCCCTGATCCTCCCCTTCTCATGCTCATTCAAGTCTTCTTTCCAGCAGACCCTGGACAACAGGGGAGGGATGTGATCTGACTTCTATAAAAGGATCCCTCTGGCTGCAGAGCTGAGAATAGTTGGGAAGATGGGACAGGGGTGGAAAGAGGGTGCCTGGGTGTGAGATGGAAAATGGCTTGGTTCTGAAGGTGGAGATGGAGGGCTCTGCATGTAGACTGCACAGGGGAGTGACAGAGAAGAGCCTGGGAGTGATGTGGGATGAAGCCACCTCATGTCTTTCAGGTCTTCACTCAGTATCACCCCCTCAGAGGCCTTCCCCCACCCTTTCCCTGTTTTGTTTTCCCCGGTGACCTTTCCCCCATATTACCTACTGATTTGCTTGTCTCCCAACAGCTCCTTTCAGGCAGAAGTGTTTGTCTGTTTTTTCCCCAGTGCCTAGCACAGTAGATGCTTAATAAGTACTGTTGAGTGCATGGAGGCATGTATACCTATGAAGGCAGCAGGTTTTAATCCAGGCCAGCCCAGGACACTTCCTATGGAGGTAACTGGTTTACCCCCGTTATAAGCCATAATTCCTCTGAATGATGTCAGGCAAAGAGTCTCCCATCTCTGCACACCCAGCTGGCTGTTGGTCTCAGGGACCTCCCAGGCCTGACAGCCAGCCAGCCAAGGGTGATTGTTATGTGGCTAATAGATCAGGAGAACAAGGCCCCAGCCTCCTTCAGGGACAGAGGTGAGCATGAAAAGGGCCCCTACATTGGGGCATTTGCCTTTGCCAAAGATGCTGTATATAAACAGCAGGTGGTTCACTTGTTACCTTCCCCTAATCCGCACTGCCTAATCCCAGGCGTGCGTGTGTGTGTGTGTGTGTGTGTGTGTGTGTGTGTGTGTGTGTGTCCTGGAAAGGGGTGTGTGTGTGTGTGTGTGTGTGTGTGTGTGTGTGCGCGCGCGCGCGCGCGCGCGCGTGCGTGTGTCCCCGTCCTGGAAAGGTGAATGGCAGAGCCTTCTGGAAACCCAGGCCAGGAGGCTGCCTCACCTCTGACCTTCATCAGCAGCCCCCACCCTAACTCCCACCCCAGATAGATCAGGGAGGTACATTCTTCCAGAAGCCCCAGCTGGTCACCTTCATGGTCTCAGTCAAATGAGGCCTGAAGAATTGGACACTCCCTACCCCGACCTCAGAGAGTAGGAGGACCCCAGAACCACCTCCTTACTGGTGCCCTGCAATGCTCCTCTCCCTCAAGCCCTCTCCACTCTCAGCCAGAGTGGCCTCTAAACACAAAGCAGACCATAATGCTCCATGCTTAACACCCTCTAATGATTTCCTATTTGCAGAATAAAGGCAGGCTCTTTACCAAGATCTGCAAGGCCACCCAGCTGGACCACTCTCCCCCATCCCTCACTCATTCCCCTCCAGCCAGACAAGCCCCAGGGCCTTTATATATGTTAGTCCCTCTTCCTGGAACAGCAAACCCCCCATCCTCACCTTGCTGCCCCTTCTTGAGATTCAGCTCTCAGCACCCCAGGGGAGGCCTTACCCTTAACTAAGTGAGCACACCTTCTCACTCCCTACGCTCAACCTTCTGATGTTCAAGAACTATTTCTACTTGTCAACTTATTTGTCTCCCTACTAGAAAGTAAGTTCCTCATGGACAGGGATCTTGTGTGGGTCACTGCTGTATCTCCCACACCCAAGGAAGAGAAAATCCCCTTGCCTAGAACTCTGTGGGTTCTGAAGGACTGTTATCAAAACACTTCACTTATTTATCAAATGCTCTGTAGCACTTGGTACATGATAGGCACTTTTAAAGTGTCATACAAGTATTAATTCATTGAATCCTCACACCAGCCTTTTTTGGTCGCTATTTGTGTCCGCTTCATTTCAGATAAGGAGGCTGGGGCACAGAAATGATGAGGTATTTTCTCAGGTCTACAGAGCTCAAAAGAAGAGGTGGTTGGCAGGATTTGAGCCCAGGGGGTCTGGTCCATGCTCTCAACAGCTGCACCTTGCCTGCCTCCCTGTCTTAGCACATCACCAGGACCAGACATTTGACAGGGAAGCTGGGGTGGGGGTGGGAATGTCACTTTGCAGAGGTCTTTAATCTGGGATTCAGAAATTCAAATCTTGTTTCTATTCCAGGACTTGCTGTGTGGCTTTAAACAAGTATACTCCCTCTCTGGGCCTCATTTCCAGTCTATTTACAGGGCTGGCCCTTCTCCCACCGTGCTTTACCCATGTTCTCATAAAGGCTTTGTGAAGCAAAATTGGCTGTTGCTTATTTCCAAGCCCCACCCCTCCAATAAGCACAGGGTCTAGGATGCCTTTCGCCTTTCAGTCCTAACAGCCTGAGCCTTCCTTGGCCCAGTGACCAGAGCATACCCCCAGGCTCCCACAGACCTGGCTGCTACTGGGAACACAGCTTTCCCTGAAGGAGAGAGCGAGGGCTTTCCTTTTTCACCAGGAGGCTCTGTCGGTTGTCTCCAGGCCCCTTGGCCCTTTCCCCTCACCTTCCTCCCTGCTTCTCATTTTCCTGGGGTCCAGGCCTCAAGTCCCCCCACACCCCCACACCCCTGCCTGGGCCCTCCCCAACCTCAAATCGCAGTTCCTGCCAGAGGCACCTGGCAGAGTGCCCACCTCCCCAGGGAGGCCGGGACCCTGCCCTCTAGCTCCTGGCCACGACCCTCCTTCGCCCCCTCTCCTCCCTGCGCCTCTTTTCCAGGCGGTGGTACCGAAGTCCTTCCTACACACACGCTATTTTTGTACCATCACTCTCTCCCTCCTCTCCCCCTTCCCCCTACATTCACTTACTTCCTGCTTTTCCTGCACCTCGGCCCAGCTCTGAGAGAAGCGGGCCCCTCTGGCCCGCGCCCTCCCGCAAGAGGGGCTTCGGCTTTGGGACGGGAGGGCAGGGCCACGTGGGGAGAGCGAAGGAGCCACCCTCCGGGAGCCCGTCCCCTGCCCACTCCGCCGCCGCCCCCAGCCTCCGCCCGCGGGAAGCCCTAGTCCGCGGCGCGGGGAGGCCGGCCGCAACTTCCCCGGTCCACCTTAAGAGGACGATGTAGCCCGCTAGCCGCGCAGACCTTAGAAAAACAAGTTTGCGCAAAGTGGCGCGGGGGCCCGGCCTGCGGGCAGCTCCGGCCGCGCTCCCACTGCCTCCCAGCCCTCGCCGGCAGCGCAGGTCCGAGCCCGGCGGGCCGCAGGAGGGGCGCTCGGGCCGGGGGCCGCTGCGCGGGCTCTCCGCTGGCCTTGGGTCGGCGCCTGAGCCCGTCCAGTCCTGAGCCCGGGCGGGTTGCGCGGGCGGCGGGGGACTGCAGCTGGGGCCGCGCGGGGGTGCGGGGGCCGCGGCGAGCGAGGGGCGACGCTAGCTGCCCGGCCGGCACGGCGCGCAGCCCCGCTCCCTCCTCGGCGCGCGGCTGGCGGGCGCTCTCCGACTCCGTGCCGGCAGGACCGAGCCCGCAGCCTCCCGGGCGGGCCGGAGGGAAGAGGGAGGCGAGGAGGGGGCCGGGCTGCCAGCAAGGCGGGGGCGCGGTCGGGGCTGCGGGCCGGGAGCGAGCCGAGCCGCCGGCGCCGCGAGGAGCCCGGGCGGGGCAGGTGCGCGGCGGCGGGGGCGGCTCGGCGTGGCGGGCTCGGCGGCGCTGCCCCTCGCCCTGCCCTCGCGGTCCTGCTCTCTCCCGCGCTACCCGTCTCGGTCTGCGCGCCGCCTCGCTCCCTCCCTCCTCCCGCTCCCGCCCTCTCTCTCCCTCCCCCTCTCCCCCTCTCCCCCTCTCCTTTCGGTGTCTCTTGCTCTCTGCCTGGCTCCCCTGGGTCTGTTTCTCTCTCCTGCCGCCTCTCTCTGGCCATCCCGGGCTTGCTTTCTCGCGCGCTTGGGGTCTGTCCCCCTCTCCGTCTCTCGATCTCCCCTGGGGGCGGGGGGGGGGTGCCGAAAATCGCGGCGGTGACAGCGGCCCCTAAGCGGCTCCGGGCGCGCGTTCCGGGGAGGGGGAAGCCCGGCCGGGAGGGGAGGCGGGGGGAGCGGAGGGGGAGCCTTAGTCATTTCCCCGCTCCAGCCTGCGCCCGCCCGAGCGCGCACTCACGGCTGCTCTCCCTCCTCGCTCCGCAGCCGCGGCCCATGGAGCCCGCCCGCCCGGCCCCCGGCCGCCTCGGGCCGCTGCTCTGCCTGCTGCTCGCCGCGTCCTCCCCCTGGACAGGTAAGCACCCCTCACCGCCCCCACCGCCGCTGTCCAGAAACTGCGGGCTCAGGCCCCTCAGACCGCGCCTGGGAGCCACTCGGCTAGTGTCCAGCAGTAACAGTGGGAGAGATACCTGTAAGCAGGGTTACAGATGCGAAACTGAGGCCCAGAGAGAGCCAGCGACTTGCCCAAGGTCACACAGCCAAGGATAGAACCCAGTCTGTCTGGACTCTGAGTGTGTAGCACTGTGCTGGGCACTGGGACATACCCAGATGAGTTGGTTCACCTGGCTCCTGCCCAGTCTGCCCAGGGAGGCAGGCTGTCAGCGCCTTTCAGAGTAGAGCGCCCCTGGCTCTCTACAAGCTCTCTCCCTGGACTTTCGCTTTCCACATGTTTGACTTAAGGGTCTTGAGAGAAGGGGGTGACAGCAGAGGTCTTCTGGGTACTGCCTAGGATGGAACAGAAACAGGCGGTTGCAATTAGGGAAGAGTGAGCTCTCCCTCTGGCGTGCAGAGTAAAACAGTGTATATATGGGGTGCGGCGGGGGGAGAGGAAGGGAGGCTGCAGTAACCCTGGGGTGAGCTGCCTCCATCAACAGATCCTGATGTGAAAACACGGTAGATTGTTCCAGTTCTTGCCAAAGCCACTCGCTAGATGGTCTGTTCCTTGCTGCTCTCCTAGCCCTCCTGCTCTCCCCTGCCTTCCTCAGGCTTCTAGGCAGCTCCCTGCAGTTCAGGTGCTCTGTGGTGCTATTACCTGTGGCTCTGAGCATGCCTTTTTGTTGGCCTACATCAAACACCTGGCTCTCTCCAGCAGGTTGGCTGTGAAGGCTACCATGTGTGTTCGCCAAGGGGTGAGGTCACCATTCAGGAGTCTTGCTTCTTAAAGGGGTTTTTCAAAACCATGGGTCTCCCGGGAGAGCAAGAGGAGGGCCGCTGGAACACCATCTTTAAAGGACTTGGGGTGGGAGAGAAGATGGGGATCTTGTTCTTGGCTCCTGTAGCTGGGCTATAGGCAGAGAGGTCTCTGCACTTCCCTCCTTAAGGAGGGAGTAAAGATGAGCTCAGTGTACACCTCCCCCTGCCCCTTTGCATTTGCCTAGAGACTGGTAACCATCTGATAGCAGCGAGAAAGAGGGAACTAGCGAAGAGTGGGTGGAGGGAGAAGTGGGGGTGGACAGCAGCCTCTCTGTGCCCTGCAGTTTCCCCTGAAACCCAGGAATCCACAAAGGCATCCCCCCACCCCACACCAGAGTCTTTCAGTTACAGTTGAGTCCCTGCTGGGCAGAAGGAAGCACTGATATATTTCATGTCTTTTTAGTGAGTGGCATCTCCGGATCTGCTCCTTCCTGCCTGAACCGGCCATTTACACCCTGCAAAAGTCCGAGTTCCCTCCCTGCCCTCCTTCCTGGCCTAGAAATGCAGGAGCAAGCAGCTCTCACAAGTGCTTAATTTTCCTGAAACAGGGAACTGGGCCCAAGTTAATTTCTAAATGTCTATTCCAGACCCTTCTCCAACCAGAACCCGGTGGTTCAGTTTCTGGCAAATGAGCAATGGCGTTGATTAACAAGTGTTCAGATGGGCAGCCTGCCTTTCCTGGGGCACTGGCTGGGAACACCAACACCCTTCTTGTGAGCAAATCTCCCCCTTTTGCCTATAAAAACAATCTATAAAATGGTAAAGATTAGGCCATAAAACTTCCGTTCCAATCCATTCAGCATCAATAGCCTGAAAAAGTGGGAGCAACAGAGGGGCCAAGATTAACTTTGAAATAAATAAATCTTAGGAGATAAGAATAAATTTCTTGGCTGAGGGTGGTGGGGAAGGGATGGGGTGTCATCATCATAGCTGAAGCCTCCCAGCATCCTTCACTCTGTGTTCTATGGGATTCCGGTCAAATTCCAGGCCCTGGCATGGAAGTCACCTGGTTTGGCTGAAGCATGGGGCTGCAGGCCCCTCCCTCAGTTGCTCCAAGCATGGAATTTATGACAAAGCAGAAGAGAGGCAGGACAGAAGGGCAGGAAGGTAGAAGGAGGCAGTTGTCCAATTTTCTAAGAAAATGGATTTGTTCGAGAAACTCAAATGTCAGGCTTAGGAAGGCGGCTTTGGATTGAATGACTACTAGTGTCTCAGGCAGAACTGTCAGCCTGGGAGGTGTCACGTGATTGCTGGAGCTTCACATGATCACTGTTTGGAGGGGGCTGGTCGTGCATTTCTGGGTTGGGGAAGGCAGGGAAGAAGTTTCTAAAGATTGCTCTCAGCACAAATGCTGCCAAAGGGAAATTCTAAAAAGATGCTGGTGAAGTCACCAACCTGTGTTCTTGGAGCCAACGTGAGACCTGTTTCCTAAAACAACTTCACTGAAGGAGATTTCAGAGACTGGGAGAAGGGCAAGAGACTTGGGGACACTGGGGCCTCCTGATTCCGCCATAGCAGCCGCACCTGATGCCGGACCTGCAGGCTCCTGGCTTGGCCCCACCTGGGTCTCAGGACCTCTGAGTCACCTGTTGGGCAGACCTCAGATCAGCTTACATTCACTCGTCACTCTGGCCTGAAGAAGGCCAGCTCAAGTCGGGGTTCAGGCTTGGGGGACAGCTGGGCCCTCTGGTGAGCTTCTGACCCTTCGTAGAGGGTGGCATACTGGTGGCTCCTCTGTACTTTCCTAAGTGATGAAGTTAATCTCACTTCCTCTTTCACAAGAAGAGAAAGGGGATGGGGGTGAGGGGCTTTGGTCCCATGGCCTCAGGCTGTCTAAAGGTCTTTCAAAGCTGTGGTGTTGTCAGGGTCCTTTCTGGGCATTCCTTTACCAACTCCATGGAGATTCATGGTGTGATTCATTCCTATAACTGGCAGTTATTCAACACGTGTGAAGTCCCGATGTGAACCCCATGTTGAGGGAAGGGTAGAGAATCAGCATCCTTTGAATGTTAACTGTATTCCAGGCTGTGTGCTGAGTGCCTGTGTGCATTATCTCATTAATCAGCAAAGCCTGAGTTGGCCATTACCCCATTTTACAGATAAGGAAAGTGGAGGCCAGCACTGCAGAAGTAACTTGTCCAAGGAGTAAGTGGTTGGGAGCCTTTAAGGGAATAGTTTCACTGACTTAATCAGGATTACTCAGCCCAAAATGGAGGGAATGAGAGGTTCCACCTCTGGGTTAGATGGAAGTTTGTGGAAGGGTTCCTTCTGGGGAAGTCTTGAGTCACAGCTGTTTCTCTGGGTGCGTGCTGGGGATAGAGAAAATGACAGCCCCTTGGCCCTCACAAATGGCAACTGATGGGAGCAGTGTGGCTCCCCTCAGAGCCCCCTATCTGGGCTTCCAAGCTCTGGAGCCCCCAGAGCTGGAATATTCCTCCTTGCATCTTGCCGGTGCCCTTTGCAACAGATGGAGAGGGGGTGTGTGAGAGGAAGGGAGTCTAAAACTGTTGGAAGCCCACATACACTCGCTCACTGCTTCCAATGGCTCTGTGCAACAGGTTATTTTCTTATTTGTAGTCTTGGACTGATAGAACATTGCCCCCCCCCCCACCTTTTTTTAAATGTGCTCAGATTTCTGGCCTGTCAACACAACTCAGATCATGTCACTCCCCTGCACAAAACTGTTGAGTGGGTCCAAGTTTTCTTTAAAAAAAAACAACAAAATATAAATTGCAGCTGGCCATGGGCTTCCTCCTTCACAGGCCTTATTTCTCAGCCACATATTTCCAAACAGCTGACCTGTTGAGATGCTGCAAGAATATCAGGCTTCCTTCTCACAGGCCAAGGCTGACCTAGCTACTCAAGCACATCAGCACCTAAAGGACCCTGAGAATTTCCACAGTAGTAGGATCCCAAGATGGATCCTATTTATTCCCGTGTTCCCGAACATATGAACAGGAGGTATAACTCTCATTAACATAGCCTAACCCACTTTGGATTTTGTACAAATCTGTGCCCTCGCTTATGCTATGCCTGCCATCAGAGACACTGTTCCCTGTGTCTCCTTATCTTTGTATGTCCAAATCCCACTCATCCTTCAATTTGTGGTTGCCTCATATTCCACGGGGTCTCCTCTTCCTCCAAACCCTCCCCACGGGATTTTATCTGCCCTGTCTGAGGCTATTTTTTGTTTTCCCCTTGTTTTATCAACAATATGGATACATGTTTAACTTTAACACCTGATTAGCATGGCAGTTCTGCAATAGTAACGGTCATTTACCCTCTCCGTGCAGGGACACAGCACAGCCTAGTGCTAAGTGCCAGGCTTAGTGCCAGAGCCCTGGGTGTGAATCCCAGCTCTACTACCTTCTTGGACAATTTTCTGAACTCTGTCTCAGTTTCCTCATATGTAAAACAGATGACACCAACAACTCTGCTTCAAGGATTAAGTCACTTGAGCATGTGTGATGCTTGTTGTTCTATTCTGGTGGGGTTTCCTCTTCTATAAAAGTGGGACTGAGTTTTGTAAAGCACCCAGCATAGCTCCTGGCATACAGTGGGTATTCACAAAACAACAAAAGCTGTTCAGGGAGTGAATGCCCCCCAGTCTGAGGTTTTTCTCTGTAGCTTTGATGCTGTTAGGAGAATGGACAGTTGAGTGGAAACCTGGGGTAATGTGGTTTAAATATTGGTTGCTGGGCCTGAGGCTGTGGGCGCATCCTGCCTCTAGGTGTCTCTGTCTGTATCCACAGGTCTGAAATTCAGGATTTCCAGGCAAGGCCTGGGTGGGATGCCAAACCCCCTGTCATCCAGGCCAAGGCTCTTTAAAGCTGGGCTGTGCTGGAAGTTTCCATCATTAAAGCCAGAAATCTGACAGGATCCTGAATTCCATGGGAAAATACTCAAGTAATAATAATGAGAACCATTGTTTCCAGCCATTTAATGGGCTGAGCACTTGGCCTGTATGTTCCCAGTCGTATTCACAGTTACCCTGGGTGGTGTGTACAGTTATCATCAGATACATTTGGCTCAGAGAGACCTAGCGGCTTGCCCAAGGCCACACAGTAAGTGGCAGAGTCAGGATGAAGACCCAGATCAGCC